ACACTTGTGTTTGTGTTCCACACCCTGTACTACACAACTATGCAGAGTCTCCTCTTGGATTCTGGGACCCCTCGGGGGATGTTGGAGAGCCGGTTTTGGCCCGATCCCCACAGGCCAGGCCAAGGGACCCAACCTGCCGGAGAAACCCTACTCACTCCACAGACACCCTTCAAGCCACAGCACCATCCCAGGAATTCTAATTAATTTCCTTTCAATGTGCACAAATTCATGCACCAGGCCACTAGTAGGAGTATAAATAGGCATAATTTTTCTGGCGGTAATTTGGAAATGTGTATGGAAAGCCTTAGAATGTTATTTATTCTTTGGCACAGAAAGTTAATCTCTAAGATTGTTTTCCTAAAGAAGTGATTAGAGGTACTTACCAAGATGAGGCATGTTTAAGAATGTTTCTTAGAGAGTTATGAACAATTCCCCTAAAATTGGAAATAACCTTGAGTTCTAATATGTTCTTTCTTAGGTAAATTATAATAAATCTGCAAGATGAATGAAATATAACCTTTTTAAAAAAACTGATTGATTTTTTTAGAGAGAGGAATGGAGAGGGAGAGGGAAATGGAGAGGGAGAGACATTGATTTGTTGTTCCACTTACTTATGCATTTGCTGGTTGATCCTTGTATATGCCCTGATGGGAACCTGCAACCTTGTCATATGGGGAAAATGCTCTAACCAACTGAGCTACCTGGCTAGGGCCTCATATAGCCTTTCAAATACCATTCTTCTTCTTCTTTTTTTTTAATCTGGGGAGGAAAAAAAATTGCATGACAGGTATTAGAAATACAAAAATTGTACACACCTTTTCTTATAAAATATGGCCTAACGAAAACTTTTAATTTAATTCCTGGTTCCCATCACACCAAATTATGTTTCTCCTTTTCAGTATTGTTTTTCTCCATCTTAAAGAGAGAACTTCTATGTCTCTCAAATACCATTCTTAAAGGGCATTTAATGATAAAAAGAAAAGTCAGGTTATGAAACAGTACAAACAATAGTATTCCAATTTTCTAAAATGCTTATATCTGGGTGTAAGTGGACAGAAAATAGAATGAAAAGGCAAGGATATAAATATTGGGGAATGGGGGAGATAGAAGAGGGTATGGGGGGTAAATGGTGATGGAAGGAGACTTGACTTGGGGTGGTGAATACACAATACATTATGTATTATAGAACTGTACATCTGAAACCTATATAATTTTATAAACAGACTAGAGGCCTGGTGCACAAAATTTGTGCACTTGAGGGAGGGGTCCCTCAGCCTGGCCTGTGCCCTCTTGCAGTCCGGGACCCCTCGGGGGATGTCTGCCTGCTGACCCCCAGAGGGATCGGGCCTAAGTCGGCAGTCAGACATCCCTCTTGCAGTCTGGGACCCCTCGCTCCTTACTGCCCCCTGCAGCGGAGGCGGAAGAGGCTCCCGCCACTGCCACTGTGCTCGCCAGCCGTGAGCTCGGCTTCTGACTGAGCAGCACTTCCCTGTGGGAATGCAATGACCGTCAGAGGGCAGCTCCTGCATTGACCGTCTGCCCCCTGGTGGTCAGTGCACATCATAGTGATCAGTCATTCTGCTGTTCAGTTGATTTGCATATTAGGGTTTTATTATATAGGACGAGAGGCCCAATGCCTGAAATTTGTGCATGAGTAGGCCTTCGCAGCCGCAGCTGCCTGGATCCCTCCCTTGCAGCTGTGGGGGTGCAGCCCCGGCTTCATCCCAGAAGGACATCTGGTCTAATTAGCATATTACGCTTTTATTATTATAGATGTTGCCTCAATAAATTCAATTAAAAAGTTAAAAAAAGAATATAAATATTAACAGTAATTATCTGTGGCTGATGGCACCACAAGTGATTTTAATACTTTTCATTGTACTTTTCTGCATTTTCTACAGTGTTTTCATCAACCATACATTGCTGCTCAGAATGTGTTAATGAATATTGGGAGAAAAAGAAACTATTTTATATAAATTCTGACAAATTTCTTTATAAGGTAATATTATGTATTAGAGTGATTCTCAATCCTGACTGCAATTAAACTCACCTTGGGATTTTAACAACAACAAAAATCTATTTCCTCTTCGGTGCTTTCCAGAGATTGTTATGTAGCTCAGTTGGTGGGCCCTCTGTTAGTATTTTTGAGAAGCTCTCCAGTTAATTCTAATGAATAATCAAGACTGAAAATTACTATTTCAGCATGTGTGGTCGATAGATGAATAATTGTGCTGAAAGCCACCTGCCCCCACCATGTAGACCAGTTGTTTGAAAAAGACCAAAGGTTTGTCAGAGGAAACTTATTGATGATTCCTTAAACAATAAATTGCTTATTGACAATTCTTCCCCTCTAAGAGAGGACAAATACTATTCAGGGAACTGAATAAATTTTCTTGCCACTTGCACCAATGCAGTTTTTAAATACCAAGAAAGGGGAAGGTATTTTTTATTATAAAATAATAATTATAGCAACAGCTGCCCACTCATGCTGAGCTCACAGTCAGCTTGCACATTGTGGGAGATGAAGACTCTCATGCTAGTTAGTTCTACTAATCAAAATAACATCTCAAAATAATGGAACTAACCAAGAAGTGCAATGAAATTGCTGTATATAAGATAGGCCACAAACCTGGAAGAAATGACCCTAAAAGAAAGTGCTAATATGAGGAAAAAAAGAAAAATCAGGGATAGAGGAGGAGATGGAAGGTAATGTCAAGGAACAAAATTCTTCTTTGGGCTGCAGGTGGGGGAGATTCTTATTATTTCTTTCTACAATTGATGGATAAGCCCTAAAGGTCTACTGGCATGACTTCCAAAGGTCTGAGTACCTGACACCTCTTTTCCACAGCACTGACTTCAAGAATGTACGTGTGGGAGTTCAGTTAGTCTGATGGGCCGAGTGTTATGGATGAGAAATTTCTTCAGGCCAAACTGTAGGGGGTTATTTACTTTAGTAATCATATGAACCTCTGGTCTAAGTGAACTGGTTCTCCAACCTCCTTTGTACTAGGTTGGTTTTGAAAAGGAACAGCTGAGCTTCTGGAAGGACTGAGGTGATGTTTATTCACTCAGGTGTGACCTCTCACAATTATGTACCCTAAAGGTGAGGATCTAGACACCAGCACCTTCACCTGTCTCAAGAGCTCTGATGACCTTTGTGGCACTCTCTGTGTTCATGTCCTTCTAGGTTTTTCAGATAATAAATCTTGCTTAATTTACTCAAGAAGTGACCACTGAAGAGTCAAAATGGTGATCACACAGTTCTCAACAGATTAGGAGTTTTAAAATTAGCATCAGCATATTATTTATTTTTACAAATAACATGAAAACAAAAGACAAAATAAAACACAAAAAGCAAAGCTTTATGTAAATAATTTACAGAGATAAATAACAAACTGAAGGGAGTGGTCTGTTTCTCCAAATAAACCCAAACAAGTATTTGTGCAATGTTGTTAATATGAAAGAACACATAATCTGTGTTCAGTGTTCTTCCACATCCATTTTACTGTCACTGTGAAGGACTGTTAACAGGAACTTGGAAATATACTCTTACAGAAATCTAGAATTCTATTTTCTTTTAAAAAAAATATATTTCATTGACTTTTTACAGAGGGGAAGGGAGAGGGATAGAGAGTTAGAAACATCGATGAGAGAGAAACATTGATCAGCTGCCTCATACACACCCCCTACTGGGAGTGTGCCGGCAACCAAGGTACATGCCCTTGACCGGAATCAAACCTGGGACCCTTCAGTCCGCAGGCTGACGCTCTATCCACTGAGCCAAACCAGTTAGGGCTAGAACTCTATTTTCTCCAAAACCCACAGTTCAGATCAAAATTTCTTATACGAAACTGTAATTCTTTTGTGCGCAAGCTTCTTTCCTTGTTAAATTACAATATGCTTAAGGACATAGACCTCATTTTATGCTTGTTTTACATCACAAGGCAGCGAATGAGGACCACTGGAGGCGATGCTTAAGCAACATAGGTTAGTATGGACTTTGGTAAGAATCAGATCTGGCCCTAGCCGGTTTGGCTCAGTGGATAGAGCATTGGCCTGTGGACTGAAGGGTCCCAGATTCAATTCTAGTCAAGAGCACATGCCTGGGTTGCTGGCTCAATCCCCGTGGGGGGCGTGTAGGAAGCAGCCAATCAGTGATTCTTTCTCATCATTGATGTTTCCCTCTCTCTCACTCTCCCTTCCTCTCTGAAATCAATAACTAAATATGTAAAAGAATCAGATCTGTGTTCCAATTCTTAGTGGACACTTTCTCGTTGTGAAACCTTGGTTAAATAATTTTCCTTTAGGAGAAAATTTAAATCCTTTCAACAAATACTTAAGCTGTGTCAAGTACATAAGGGATTTGGCTGTGAACAAAGTTGGCAGTATTACTGTCCAAAATCGGCCCAGAAGACAGAAATTTGAAAAAACGCGGAAGATCTTCTCTGCCAAGCTTTGTGCATACTAAATGAGACAGACTTAAGCCATTACCTGGTTCAGTGCCTAGCACATAATTAACGCTCAGTAAGTACTAGAGACAACTTTGCAAAACGATGCAGACTGAAGTTTGGGTTTCACCTCCTTATCGCGTGACGACCACCTCTTACACAGTGGGCTCCCCAGGCCTTTTCACGCAGGACTCAACGAGCGTCTACAAGCGGGACGGAGAGGACCCAAAGCCCAGAGCAGCAGGCTGGCCCAGATGCAGCCCCTGAGCTGCCGCCTCTCACCTCCAGCAACCTGTTATCTCTAGGACCTAGGGTGCCAGCGACCGCCCTCCGCGGCCTGGCGGGAGCTCTCATTGGCTAGTCTTCCTCGGAAACGCACGCCTTTCCCCGCCCCCTCACGTTGCTGTCCAATGCACGCCTATCTACTCCGCCCCGCCCTCACTGCCCAGCGGGTTCGCGCCATTGGTGGATGTCCCGGTGCGCGTGCGCGCTCGCTCCCCGGCCCTGGCGAGCGGAGCGAACGGGGCAAGCGGGGCGGGAGGAGGCCCACTGTGCTCCGCCCCGGTGAAAGGGCGGTGGCGCCGCTGGGCGGGGCCGAGGTCAAGGGCTGGCGGCCCGGCTGCTCTGGGGCCTGTGAGCTGTTGCGGAGCTGTGTGCTGCTGAGGCAGAGCGGGCTCAGCCGCGCGCACTCCGCGCCCGCCCGCCCGCGCCCGCGCTGAGCTTCCGGCTCGGGCGGCTGCGCTGCTCGCCCTCGGCGACGTTGCCCCGGAGTCTCCAGCATGAACGAGCTGAGGCTTAGGGCGGTCCGTGATCCGGACGCACCGCCGGTGGAGAAGGTAAAGGCGGCATCCGGCTGGGCGCGGTCAGGGCAGCGGCGCCTGCCGGAGGTCGGCGGGTGGCACGCGCAAGAGGGGTCGTCCAGCTCTTTGACTCTTTGTGGCGGCGGCCGGCGGCCCCGGGCCTGGGCAGCGCGAGGGTCCTTGGCTGCGGGATCCCCGAGGAGCGCGTCGGGGGTCAGCAAGTCGGGGTTCCCGGAACGCGGCTCTGGGGTCCGATTGGGGGTGGTATCTCCGCGGCGCAAGAAGGAGAGCGCGGGAGGTTGCGCACCGCCGCCTGCCTCCCAGGGCTGGTTGGGGGTGCCACTCCAGTCCCCCACATCCTGAGGTCTTTCTGGGGGTGAAGACTTCAGAGACCCCCTTAAAGCCTTCTCTGGCAGGCGACTCTGCTCCTCTGTGCCCGACTGAGGCTCTTGCGCACCCCTCTAAATTTTGGGGGGTGGTATCAAGACAAGGCCCTGGGATTTGCTTCTAAGGACATTTAAATCCCTTGAAAGTGAAATCCATGGGCTTTAAGGTCTCTTGGCTCACGCCGTCAGCAGGTGTTGGAAAGTATACTCCCAATAGAGGGGCTTGCTCCCTGCTTTAAGTGTGGGCATTGATGGGGTACAGGAGGGTGAAGAAGAGGCCATCTTGGCGGGGATGCAGCTGGTTGGGGGGTGTGAGGGATGAGGGGAGTAGACTGTTTTCGTTGAAGTGAAAGGTTTGTGAAGGGGAGTTGAGGAAGGTAAAGCGGGGGTGGTGGTGGTGGTGGTGGTGGTTGTGATGCTGTGGATGCTGAATGACAGCCTATGGGTTGGGACTGCACGGTAGTGTCTCGAGCAGTGCTTGGTTTTGAGCACTGGAGTTGGAGCGGCGTGTAGAATGGACCGAGGGAACCTGCACCAGGATGGAAGAGAATGGTTAACTTGGAGGTTGCTAGTGGGTGGTGACCTGAGGATGTTTTCTTTGGTCCAGGTGTTCCTTTAAATTAAAACAAGAAGACTTGCCCCGGCGGGGTAGCTCCGTTGGTTAGAGCGTGGTCCCCTCGAGTTCTATCCCCCGCCAGGGCCACACAGGAATCAACCAATGAATGCATAAATAAGTGGAACAACAAATTCTCTCTCTCTCTCTCTCTCATCAATAACGATCTGAATTTCTTGCTTATGTTGGGTAATTGGAAGATCCTCCATCTTGTTCCCACCTGATTACCGCTTGGCTGGAGCTGAGGAGCAGCGGTTTCCAGCAATCCCTGTGGCAGTACACCAGGCCAACAGCACCCACACACGTAGCTTGCAGGTTTTGATAACTGGAGGGAATGGGAAATATTAGGGAGACATTAGGAAGGCAGATTTGGTGATAGGGTGCAAACAGAGCAGTTTTAGGAGGAGGGATGTCTTAGGTGAAACGATGCTTAGGGGTTTAAACAACTCTTGTTGCTTTTGACAGAGGATCATCCAAGGAGAACTCTCAGTATTGATTTTTAGAATAAAATTTGGAGAAAATTTAGGGCTTCTGTGCAAGTTTACGAGTTACTTGCAGAGACAACTTTGAAATCTCTAATTTTCCTATTAAATACCCTGGTGGGGCCTGGAAGAACTCTATTCCCACCCTGTATACTAGTTGGAGGCTATGTAGCCCTGTTTAAGGGTGACAGGGTCAGACTTATTAATGGCACTTTGTGGACCTTGAAGGTGTGAGAAGAGGGAGAAAAAAGAAGGCATGAGAGCTAGTATGCTATATTTTTGTGTGTGTGCTATATTTTTTAAAAGCTATTTGTAATAATTAGACATACTTGCTGATAAAAATACCCCCCCCCCCCCCATTACAAGGTGAAACAAAGTTCCTATCCTCCCCACCCAAAACTCCTTGGATCCATCTTCCAGAGAAAAAGTGCTGCCCAATGGTACCCCAATAAATTCAATAAAGTAAAAAACAAAAACTCACAAAACCCAAAAACCCACACAAAGATCTCTTAACAAGAAAATACTTTCCTATCCATGTTTTAGGTAGGGAGGACACGAGGAGCTGTCCAGCTAAATGTGCCTTAATTTTTACAACTGCACTTCAGCCACTTACACAATGACAGAATGCCTGGGGTTGTGAGGTCCACTAAGCGCATGTTGCTTCCTAAAGTACAGCAGCTACTGTATTCTGTTAAAAGCCGGATGTAGTCCATTAGCTCAGAACAAGGCAAACAGTACCTCATCCCATCACTGCCTGAATTTCTTGCTTATATTAGATAATTGGAAGATCTCATAGCAGTCTGAATTTCTTGCTTATATTTGCCTTTGTTGAATGTATATTGTAGAGTTTTGAAAAATACTGATTTGTTTTATTTCATAGGTTGTAAAACCTTCCATGATTTTGGTTTTATCGGTAATCTTTTTAAAAAATTAAAAGAGAGAGAGAGAGAGAGAGAGAGAGAGAGAGAGAGAGAGAGAGAGGGAACTGTTCCACTCACACATGCATTCTTTGGCTGCTTCCTGAATGTGCCCCAACCAGTGATTGAACCTGCAACCTTAGAGTATCATGAAGATGCTCTTAACCAACTGAGCTACATGGCCAGGGCTTGCCCATATTCTTGTTAGCACTTAAGAAAATTAGAAATAACTAAAAAAGGATATTTCTTCAGGGAAATGAATTGTGAAATGGGAACTTGCTTATTTCATAGAAGAATTCAGAAAACAATATCAAATCAGTTTATTAAAGTAACTGGAACGAGTTTGAAAGATTCTTTAAAATGTTACAGTTGCTTAACTGCTTTTGCAAAATTGTCTTAAAAATAAGCACACAATCCTTAGTTTCAAAATAATCTGGAGAATGTGTTTATTATAAAAGTTAGAGATATTTTGTTATATTTAGCATCAGAATGGAATTTTCAGAGCCTGTTGCTAATAAAGGAAATGTTTTTCTCTGGGAACCATGCTTATAATTTTAAAGTTCCAAAGCACAGTATTGTTGCCAAACTAAGAAACTTGGAATTTAAACTTCGGGAATGATTGATTCTTTTCCTTTCCAACTATGTTTTTACAATGTAGTTTAGGAAAGAAGGGGATGAAGCATGGGCCAAAAGATTGGCATCTTAAAATTTATGATTGGGTTGGCATTTCAGGAGTCTTTGTTTTAGAGTTTAGAGTGAAGATTTGCGGTTTTCTGCTGTACTTAGATGCTGGAGTGTTATTTAAATTAGAGCTCTACTCCTTTCCAGGCTTCCTGTCTAGATTGATGGAACCAGTATCAGGAGGAAATAGTGACATCATTTAGAAGGGGGAGTTTGGTAAATTTTAACTGAAGACAGTGGTTTAAAGCTGGGCTTAAGAGTCAGATCCATCTTGAGCCTGGGTTCTGCACCCTAAGAGATGTATCACTGAGCAAATCACTTGTATAAAAGCCTCAGTTTGTCCATCTCTAAAATGGGGCAATAAAACAGCATGTGCATCAGAGGCCATTCATGTGGGTTAAATGAGTATGCATGTTACATAGGTAGGGCAGGAAGAGTCACATTGTAATAATATTTTAGTTATTGTTTCTGGTTGAAATATAGTTTTTGTTTTTTTTTAAATGTTTTTTTGATTTTTTACAGAGAGGAAGGGAGAGGGATAGAGAGTTAGAAACATCGATGAGAGAGAAACATCGATCAGCTGCCTCCTTGCACACTCCCTACTTGGGGATGTGCCTGCAACCAAGGTACATGCCCTTGACTGTAATCGAACCTGGGACCCTTGAGTCCGCAGGCCGACGCTCTATCCACTGAGCCAAACCGGTTAGGGCTGAAACATAGTTTTACAGAAAAAAACGTTAATATTCACCTTCCACTCTTGGAAGATGATTAAATCTTTAAGTTATACATGTTTGGAGTAGTCTTTTCCTATTCATCACCTTTTAAGGAAAGTGTTATGGACAGAGCTTGGCCTTCTGTGACATATCTTTTCAGTTCATTTTCTTGTTGAGGTTTTCAGTGCTCGGAATCACAGTCAAGCTTTAGCAGTAGAAGGAACATCGTTTTATACAATTATCTTTCCTTCATAGCATCAGCTAATATATTGTAGCATAGTGTTGAATAATTAGAAGTGGTTTTCTGATAGACTTATAAGAGTGAACTACTAAAATAATAAGATCTTATTTTAAGAACTATAACTACTTCAGATATAGGAGAAATGCTTTGTTTTAAAAATTTTTCTTCATTGAGAAATACTTTGGTATTGAAAAATCAGTGAATCTTAACTTTGGTTCTCAGACTTAAAAATAGGGAAAAATGGTGAAAGATTGATTTGTCATATACCCATCATTTTAAGTTTCTTAATTTATGTTGATCAACAGTATAATTTTATTTTAAAATTCAATTACTTCCCAATTCATGAGTATTTAAAATTGTTTTTATTTTTTTTTTATTGATTTTAGAGAAGAGGGGAGAGGGAGAGAGAGGGATAGAAACATCAGTGATGAGAGAGAATCGTTGATTGGCTGCCTCCTGCACATCCCCCACCGGGGATGGAGCCTACAACCCAGGCATGTGCCTTTGACTGGAATTGAACCTGGGACCTTTCAGTCTGCAGGCCGACGCGCTATCTACTGATCCAAACCAGCTAAGGCTATAATTGTTTTTTTAAAGCTAATTTTGTTTAAAATGTGTGTGTGCGTACAAATATGTGATTTTTTTTCTTAGAATAATTCATGCCTTTTAAAAATGTTAAATTGCTCTTATCAGATGTTAGGACTTGAAGGGATCCTAGAGGTTATTTTATAGAAGTGGATATCATAGCCCAGAGAGTTTACTTACTTAAGGTCACACAGTTGGTTAGTTGCAGAATGGTTAATTGTATGACCCTTTAAAATTCTCTCTTTTTTCCCTCATAATGAGAAAAAAAAATAATTTAAAAAGCTTCATACAATTAACCATTTCAAGGGCACATAATTAGTTTACAGATTTTAAAGGCTTCTGCATTGATTGACTTTGATAGAAAAAATGCCTAAAAAGACAAGAAAAAAGGCCCAAATGTCATCTGTTTTCTTATGTG